GATATGAAAAATACTTTTACCTTTTCGTTGGCATTAGTCATAATTTTTAATAGCAGGATTAGTTCATCAAACAAGTTTGTCTCCTATTTGTATTCGCACATATATAACTTAGAAAGTTGAACTTTAGAGAGGACATCGGCTAAATGAAGTTGTTTTGAAAGAGCACGTATTGTGCTGTGCAATTTTGGCTGAGAAAAGAGTAATACTCTCCGCAAAGGTTTGCATGTACTTTCCCTGGGTCAGTGTTGTACAGCACGGAGATAGTTATTCTAACAAAAGTGTACTGTTGAACAGCGACAATGCAGTACAGTACAATATGGTTAACTTCCACGCATGACGAGGGTTAAACGACTGCACAACGTATGGTCTGTCTCCACTCTGATACTTCCTAAATCAGTCAATCAAACTATATTTATTGTCGAACCAATTATCAAATGGAATATTTCTAACGAATGATGCCTATTTCTAGGAGAGACGAAGAAGTGCCTATGAACGAGGATGGTTTTGCCGAATGCATTGACCTGGCCTTGGCGTCGATGCCGCTGGTAATGCGAAACGGCATAGTCCACCAGTACTTAGGAAGAAACTGTAACTCGTCGAGCAGGTTCTATCGAGACACGATCTTGAATCTTCTTGGTGACTATTTTTTCACCTGCGATGCCTTGTGGGTTGCCGACGAGCTGTCCGCCGTAGCCACCAACAACGTATACCTGTATCAGTTCAGCCAGCACATTTCCACAAACCCATGGCCTAAGTGGGGCGGCGTCATGCACGGCTACGAGATCGAGTTTGTGTTTGGTTTGCCGTTGCTGTTTCCGGACAATTACACCAAGGAGGAAGCAGAGTTTTCAGAAAAGATCATTTACGCCTGGACTTCCTTTGCTAAAAACGGGTAAATGTGATTTTTGAAACATTCATAAAGCAGTTTCAAAGTTGCTGTGCATAAACAAATGTTTATGATTATTAATTAAAACATGATAAATGATAATCCTATCAGAACATTACTGAGTGCGAAACGTACCTCCCTAAGCCTGAAAGCTGTTCATTGGCCGCAGGCTACGCAACCCAATATGGAATAAAACGAAAAGATAGGATGACGAATGAGTGGAAACCGCCACAGACATGAATTTATGATGTCATTGCCCTGACGAAGAACTTAAAGAAGTCGTTGGGAAGGATACTTTGCGAGAAGAACCGATCACGTCTGTACTAGAGAGACAATAGACTGGTTTCAGAAAATGTTAAACGGCAAGAAGGACGACTTCCGGATCGATGACGAGGTGAGCTAAGGAAGATCACTGGATAAAGATGGATAAGAATCAGGAAAAACAGGAATTATTGACTAGTTCTGGAAAGGCTTTCATTCAGTAGATGGAAACCTGCTGTTGCTGATGATGACAATTTAGGCAATTAAGCTGCGTTACGTGATGGGGTTTGCGAGGCGCAGGGATATTCACCGTTTAACGTCATGGGGTTTAGCACAAGTTCTCCTACAGTGTAAAGATTGCTTTTCACAGGTAGTCGAGATGTTCGACTGTGACTGATTCCATTTCACCTCATCTCCACAGTTATTTCACCGTCGCCTATAATCATGCTGCAAAACTCTCAAGATTTATAATCGTTGGAGTTCGTTGAAATGAAGCGTTGCGTGTGAAAAGCTTGTTTTCTACAGCATGTCATTTATTAAACAGCAGCTGGATGGAAATGGTTGCAGACGAAATCTGATAAATTGTTTCGGCACTGATTTTGACAACTGTTAGCCATTCGTCAACCTCAGCTGTCGCCTATAATTAGCTTGGTTATCCGTTCACAAGACAACTGATCAAGTCGCTCCCGTTGAATCGCTACTGGGCTTAGGCCAGAAATATATGTTTACTCATCAGCTAAAGCCTAGTCGAATGTAGCAGACGGTCAGGAGTCAAATGTATGGCATAATGCAGTATGTCTTGACATGACTAGCGCATCATGATATGATCTGCCTTGCAATTGTTTAGAGACCGAAAAATTGGTTAGGCATTACCGTTCAGTGGATATTAACAAAGTCTGATTTGCTCCTCAATTCATAGTGTAGAAACCTCCACAAGAGAAGCAACGGGTTTTTGGGCGTCGCACTGGCAGAAGACAAATAGCAGTCTATAGCTGATCTGAAACTTATTCCGTTCTTGCCGCTTTGAGAACTCTTGAACAGCAAAACGTTAAATGTGAAATGATCCACATGGTTCAAGGCCAAAATAACAATAATGAGGTTGTGATCTACCAAATATCAGCCCTTATTCGAAAGACGGCTGGAATGGACTGAGGTCTGAGACAAAGGTAACACTGTAGGCAAGCGAATATGATTTAGTTGAAAGCCTAAAGAACCCTTCTGGTGGTGGTAGCCCGACAGCGTTGGCATCAACACATAATCAGTATTAAGCAGCAGGACTTCGTCAAGAATAACTTTGTTCAGTTCTGAGATAAAACGTTGGTCCTGTTGGATAAACTGACACTAGTCCCAGGAACTTTCCAAGTGATAACTGAAACTCGACTAGGATGCCAGTGGGCGATATGGATTTTCAAGTAGATGGTGGCCCAGTTCAGAGAGGAAAGAAATGAACTGATTTTTCTGCGCTGCAGTAACCGGACGTTTATAGAAGTAGTGTGTGATCGGCTGAAATCCTAGTGAATGTCGAAAAACTAAGATACTCTGCCAATGCATACGTTTCAGGATGCTGACCAAGAGAAACAACAACAGCTCAACGTCACTGACAATTAGTTTTAGAAACACTATGTACTCGTACGAACAAAACAATGACAAGACAAACACTTCTCTATGTTACCCCCTCTCAGCAGACAATCAAGCTCTTGACCTTGGTTTTCCATTTATTATCTGGAATTCAAATGCGTGCCAAAAACTTATCCACATTTCAATGTAATCAAATCTTAAGCTGTTACGCGGATTAAATTATAACTTTTTAATTGCTGAAGCTCTTTGTGGTGAAATATGTAGGAGAGAGTCTAGACAGTTAGCTTGAAAGAGGGAAGAAGGCTTTTTGGTATGCCGCTTGTCATAATCAGCGTCGAAAGATTGCCATCAAGGAAATGGCGTAGATTTTGGTCTCAAGCATAGAAGTAAAAAATAAACTATTTTTAGACACACACACTTAAGGATTGATTAATTGCCTCCATGTGTGTTGGATATTTAAACAGTTAAACAGTGGCACGTGCGCACTGTTGCGAATGACTGCCGGTTGACTGCTAGTTACAGCAGGTCTTAAAGAACCTGAGAATCGTGTTCCAAGATTATAATAAATCTTCATTTAAATCCCGTAGTCTGTTGCTTTGATAAACGCCGTCCTCGATTCAGTTCAAATGATGATCGATGTATACATCATGGTTTGGAATTCGATGCTAATTCGCCGGAAGACGGTTCTGGCGCAGGTGCCTCATCATTGATTGATGACAAATTATATGAAGCGCAATATTAATATCGGATGTTAAACAAATGCACAAATTATAAGTTTTCTTTTTCTGCGTATATATGATATTGCCAAAGGGCAATATCGAATAAGATAAGTCTGAATGCTCTGAGTTATTTAGGTGACAATAGAAGCGCAATTTTTAGTGTACAATTTTGTAACTGTTAACTTCCTTTTTTTCTCAGATATTTTCTTGCACTAATAGATTAATTTCTTTGCAGGTCACGTCCCTGCCCCTGCATATGTCAGATACTCCATAAATGAAAATATACAGACAAAAACAGACAGAAAAGACTAGGAGGGAAGACGGAAGAAGAAAACAAGTAATCATATTAAAAAGACAATGATGAGAAAGACAGTCAAATAATGAAAAAGACATCACCGAAGGCAATCATTATTCGTAATTGCTTTTTGTCCAATTATGGCTAATTATTCCCACTGGACAGGGATTGATAGCCCTTTCGGAATTTTCGAAAGATTAATATTATGACGGATAGTCATTGCCTGATTGAAAACCAGAGTGCTGCCGCAAAGTAACGAAAAACAACAAATAAGGCTGTCAGGTATGAAGCGTTTCTCTAATACGAAATCACTCATTTCGTCAGTTTTACATTGATTTGCCATACATAATTTATTTCATATTTTGTTTCGATTAATATTGACAAATGGTCATTTCAGGACACCCAAAATGACGGCCCAAACAGCTCCATGGCCGCAGTACAACGTCTCAACGAAGTCGTACACCGTTCTTAAGTACCCAGACGGTTCTATCGGAAATTATCTGAAAGAAGACGAGTGCAAAGTCATGAGATCCGCAAAGGACATGCAGTACGCACTACTGCAAGCGAAGAAAAGCAACGGTTTGTTGTTCTGTTTGCTGAGATCATCGTCTGGAGTCGTTTGCATAAGCAACATATCTTGGTTTGCATCGTCTTCTGTATTTACACCTTTACAACACTTACTCGATATAACACTACTAGCTACATCGTGGAAGAAGATATTCCTTTCCAGAAGTTGATCTACCTCTATCTCGTTCTTCTTTGTTCCACGCTATCCTCCTCAGTCTTCCGTGTGTTTACTCCTGCACAAAAATTCGTGGGATGGAGCGTATGGTTTATGCTCGGTCAGTTTCTCTGAAAGGACAAGTCTACCTTCCTCGATCCTCATCTCCTGAAGTCACCTGTGTCCGGAGGAGTCATGAAGTCATTACTTACGTGGTCCTACTACCTAGCGCTTATTATGCGCCGATGCCAACGCATTTCAACTGTAGTTATTGCTCTTCCATTACAGCTACTGTAACCATGCAGTCAACAAAACTGACATGTTGTAGGTAAGTCACAGGGGATTTCTTCGTGAAAATAGTTACTCCTTTCTCATCCCAAATATTTGACTGGTTCGAAAGAGCACTGGAGGCTCAGGTGATCTTCCCATTTAACTCTGAATCACTGTAGGTGATGGAGTCGAGATATTTAATTTGGTCAACTTCTTTGGAACGTTACATTTCACTATTTCAATTATATATCAACTTGTCATATTCTCGTTACTTTTCACTTTCGGGTGTTAACAAAGAACGCGGCTTTCCCACTTTCCCAACTGTGATTATAGTTGCGTACGTGAAAATGACAAACATTTGAAAGCTAGATTTTAGTTGCATAACCTATTTTTTTACTTTTATCGTTATCGCCATTGTTGTTGCATTTTTCCGACTAT